TTCTTTTGGGTTTGAGAATGAGTTTTTCGGTTGGAGATGAATTACTGCAAAATGGGATAGTTACTGCAAAATGGGTTTGAGTTTGAGTTTTTCGGTTGGAGATGGCCTAATATCCCCTATCGAATAAGATCATCAGTAATTACTATCATCATAATATTTGGTCATACAAATTCGGCAGAAAATTCAGTTCACCGGATTACTCATTATTCATTCACGGCATTAAAAAGGAAACGCAAAAGGTCCTCCGATCGTCATGTACAGATACGTGAACCGGAGCTGGACCGTCGATTCCGTCATCCTAGTAATTCCGGTCAAACTGAAGGCGCTGCAATCCAAAAACTAAACAAAAAAAAAAAAAAAGGAAAAGCAAAATCGGATGGTTAAATCGACCGATCGCGGGGATAATTCAGGCTGGACCTGGGAAGAAGACAAGCGATTTGAAGGAGCTCTCGTGGAGTTTCCCGGAGATTGCGCCCGTCGTTGGGAGAAGATATCGGCGAGGCTCGGGACGAAATCGGCGGCTGAGGTCGAGCGGCACTATGCGCTTCTGTTGGATGACTTGGCGGCAATCGAGGCGGGGTTGATCGAGCTCCCGGAATACTCGGCGGCCGAGGACGCGTTCCGGCCGTCGGAGCCCCTGAAAAACCCTAATTCCGAGAAAGGGGCGCCTCGAAAGGCGGCCAAGCCGTGGACGGAAGATGAACACAGATTATTTCTAATTGGGCTTGAACAATACGGGAAAGGAGACTGGAAAAGCATTTCGAGACACGTAGTCCAGAGCAGAAGTCCGGCCCAGGTCGCGAGTCACGCCCAAAAGTACTTCAAGCGCCAGCAAAAGCACGCGCATTACAAGAAGAGACGAAGCATTTTTGATAACTCAACTGCCTCCTCATGATGATTTCTATGGTAATTTCATAGCAATGAGGCGTATTGTATTATAAGAATTCACATGATTGTTCTGTTATTATTTCTTTAATCTAAAACTGTTTTGACGTTTACTATCGAAATCTGTACAAAGGCCCGCGTTTCGTGTGAATCCGAATCACCGTCTGGTATATATCGTTAATCGGTTTATCTATACAAAATATTGAAGCTCGAACCAGAAAGCCGGACAATGTAAGGAAACCCCAACAATGAAAAAAAATAAAAATGTTAAGAGACTCAAACTGTCACCGTGTTATCCTCAACGTCTGGCTTCTCTTCGTATTCAATGCTCTTGGGTTTGGCTGAAGGTAAATTCTGGCTCGGAAGGAGATTAGCTGTCATATCAACTGAGCCCTTGAGGTTAAGAGACGTGTAAACCGACATTCCACAAAGTGCTAAAATAGCACCAACGATGCTCACTGGACCCGGGTCGGAACCAAAAAGTAGATAACCTCCAAGTAGGATGATGCATGTCTTGAATTGGCCAAGAACGACATGAGATGTTGCAGATGTAGCACTGGACAAGTAGAACCAATTGTGTTAGACTAAGTGGCTAAAAATTTGTTGGTTTTGCTTTTACATAGGTGGCTAAAAATCGAGTGTAGGATTTTCCCGTACCCGAGTGCCAACGCCCCAGACCATTGCAAGAGAAAGCCAAGCAAGGCCGATATTAGGACAGCAGTGGCATTTGTCATGTTCCACTTGAACAACAACACTCCCGGAGGGTCCAACCATGGCATAAGAGCTACCAGGAAGAATATCGTAACTGGGGTCGTTTTCCACATCAACCTGCATTATAAGCTTCATTTTCCTTAAATTTTAATCTCTTAATAAATCTTTTGATCAGTTAAAAAAGAAAACCTTCGAGGTTCAGAATCTAAATTACAAATATCTAATTGCAAACACAGATAATATCTATATTGTTATTAAGCCAAGTTTATTCATAATTTGGCTAAACCTTGGTTGTAATAATTATTTAAATTAGCCCGAAAATTACACTACTTACGCGAGAGCAGTCCAATTGCCTTGCTGTTGGAGATTAGACCAGAGTATTTTGTTAATGGCACTCGGGATTATCCAAGCAACCGCAATAACAGCACCAAACATGTTGAATTCCAGGTCCGTGACTGTCGCAACTGCCACGCCGAAAGAGACAACGACTAGAGAAACAACCTACATTGGCGTATAATGTAAGTAAAAACTCATCAAAATTACGCAGTTATTAAGACTGAGCGTGCGAATTAAGCTAGCAAAATAAAGTAAATTGCAATCACCTTGCTAAATGATATTGTCTTCTTAAAAAGGATAAATTCTGCTGTTACAATCGTTGGCGTGACCGCAATTTTAGCCATTTGATAGAAACCAACACTGCACAAAGAAACAAACAAAGAGATGGAGCTTTAAATTTTCTTGTTTTTTTTTGGCAGGATTTGGATTATAGACCTGTTGTGCTTAAGGCTAGTGTTTGCAAGCCCAGAGGCAAAAGCCATGACAGCCCCCAATGCAAACAGTGATGAGAACGGCGTGGATTTCGAAGGAGGCGAAACGGGAAGCAACGAGAGGGCCTTGAAAACGGCCAGCAAAAGCCAAGCGGTCGTGTAGTGGATTAACGTGAGAAATATCGGGTAATTGAATCCAACTCTCCCCATCACCTGTAAATACACAGATGGCAAATGCAAGTTACTATTCAGTTGCATTAAAAATAGTCGAAAATAGTCGAAAAATCAACGGTTGATGGGGTTTAAAAAACGTTGGCTAAAGAGAGAAGAAACACACACACCAATTTGTTGCCAAGAATAATACCAACAGCAACCATGAAATTGAACGACATGGCCACAACCGGTCCACAATGCCGCTGTTGTTGCCGTTTGGCGCCTTCCGACGTCCGAAGGTCGTTATAAAGAGCGCTTCGGATTTCTTCCAACGCACGGCCTGTCGTCGGGTTTTGATTAAAACCGAACAAATTTTCAGGGGATTTAATAGATCATATCAATACCACAGGATTGAATCAAAAGCTCTTCATCTTAGATGTTATTTATTTCAGAATGTTGCAGCTCAGATCATCATTAGACTGAATCAAACAATCTCAACACTCAGTGGCACACAACAATTAACATAAAATAAAAAAAGGAAAAAAACAAGAAATCATAGGCAAAATCAAAACCTGCTTCCCCTGCATCACTGTCTTTTCTTTTGATGAATCTTCTTGATTCTTGTCCCAACAGAGAATTGAGAAGGCCCATGAATGCATTTGCAAATTATTTTATTTATTACAAAGATAAAATTAAACCCATTATCATGGTGAGTTCATGTGAAAATTTAAAGCTGGAGAAAAAGTATTGAGGATTAAAATTAAACCCATATCATTTGTCCTCTTTTTTTATTTTGTAGAAAGACCTTGGTTTAATTTGTAAATGACCCTAAATTGAGGGGTTGTTATTGTAAGTGTCTCTTTCAACCACAATTTTT